CCCATGTCCATATATGCGCTCGTCCGCAGCGGCGCCGCCATTCTGCTCGCCCAACCGGTTGGCTCGTGGATCGACCACGGCGATAGGTTAACCGTTGTGAGGACATCGATCGTGGCCCAAAGGCTCGCAGTCATTCTCAGCTGTGCTTTGCTCTGGGTCCTGGATGTCCAGAAAGAGTCGTTGACCTGGGAGGTTCGGAACGCGCTGTTTGCCGCAGTGGTTCTTCTGGCCTGCATCGAGAAACTGGGCTCCATGATGAACTTGATCGCCGTTGAAAGGGATTGGCTCGTTGTCATCACCGAGGGGAACGAACACACTCGGCGAGGTGTGTGCTTATGCCGAGTCGACAAAGTGGTTGTTCTGACCTGGGATAGTCTTGAACGCCCGAATGCGCCGGATCGACTTACTCTGCAAGCTTCTCGGCCCACTGGCAATTTCGACCATCGCCATTGCCTCTACCGCCGTTGCGATCTGGGTGACACTCGGCATGAACCTAGCGGCGGTGGCCGTTGAGTACTTGTTTATCGCTCAAGTTTACAAGATGGTCCCGCAACTCAGAAGAAATATCGAAACTGATGAGGGCATTGAACTGCGACGCAGCTCTTCGGCTTCCGAACTCAGGTCAACGTTCCATGTTTTGCCCATCTCTTCACTTCCGTTTTATTTCAGACACTCCGCTTTCTTGCCCTCCTTCTCGCTATCTCTGCTGTACCTCACTGTGCTCTCATTTTCCGGCCAGATGATTACCTACTTAATCTCGGTGGGCTATAGCTCACTGCATGTCGGGTTGGCGCGGACTGTCAGCACCATTTTCGAGTTGAGTGCGACGTGGGTGGCCCCGAGGTTGATGGGCCGGATTGGTGTCATTCGGGCGGGAATTTGGAGTCTGTCGTGGCAAATGGTTTGGCTCGCTCTAGCTGTCAGTTGGTATTTTTCGGGTTTCTACGGTACTAGCACGAGTCCCGTAATACCCGCGACAGCTTTGGCTGTCGGCGTGGCACTCAGCAGAGTTGGGCTTTGGGGGTACGATTTATGCGCGCAGAATATTGTGCAAGATGTGAACAAGCCCCACCAATCTTACATCACAGTGCTAACGGGTAGCAGGAAGTCGACATGGACCATCGAGGCACATTCTCAACAGTGGAATCCGCCTTTCAGAATCTGTTCGAGATGTTTTCGTATATCACCACATTGGTCTTCTCGCGACCTGAAGACTTCCGCTGGCCTGTTGTTATCAGTGTGCTGGCTGTCTACCTATCAGGGATTTTATACGCCATGTTTGTTCGAAAACGGCGAGGACATCTCTTCCATGCGCCGCCATCATCTTGTATCTGCGTCAAGACATGACAGAGAAAAGGCACGTCTCGCAGATCAACTAAAGTTTCCACGCAACCCTGCCGTCGGATACGAATTCCGGAATCCCCACTTCAACCACGGTCTACTCTAATCCTGTGGCCAGCGGAGAATGTACCCCATTGGTGACTCAGAATATCCTGTGCGTGACCATGTTCGACGGGGGGATGTGAGTGCAGCAGGCGACCCACAGCGTCAAAAGACACCAGCAGATGGTTCCGAACCGAAGCGAACTCTTACCAATCATAAGCTGTCGGAACCAGAACCACGACTCAATGAAGCCGAGCACGAAGATCGTTAGCAAGATGGTGCCCACCACAATCACCCAGCTCCGAAACGTAACACATCCCGATCTCCCGGTTTTCACTTTCTCGGTTGAAGGTGTTTTATATCGGTTGTTGGCGACCGCGGTCAAGGGTTGTCGCTTTCTTTTACCTTTCAGACCATTTCTGAGTCTCCGCTGCTTGGAAGCTGCGATATCATTGAGGTCATACGGTTTCAGTGGGCTCTTCGAATCCTCCAACTACATATCTGCCCGCGCTATAGTCCGACATGTTAACTTGCGGTAAAATATCGCCAGAAAGGCACTTGTGTCAGCAAGCAAGCTCGAGCAGGAGAGGGGGTTTTCAATGAATATCGAGGTGACTATGTAGGAGATGTTGAAAATGACCATCGGGCTGAACAAGTTTTGACGGGTCTGTTTTAGCATAACATGGAAGGTAATGGATACACCCAATACAAATTCCCTGGGGTTTTAGCACGTACAAATTGCCGCGTGGAGAGACGTTGTGAAAAGATTGGTGAGTAACTCTTAAAGACCCACAGATGTAGTTCGTTGCGAACACATATCTAGATGTTACGTTGTTTTAGAACCTGATTAGCCCACAACACCGGCCAGGGTTTGGAATTCGTAGTAGTAGTACCGACCTGACTACTACTACTACTACGACTTAGGTAGTAGTAGTAGGACCCAATTACTACTACTACCTCGGTAGTAGTAGTAGTAGTAGTAGTAGTCGGTAAATAATTATTTATATATTCGCATAAACTGTTATCATCAAAAGCTGTTGAGGGTAGCATTACCACTGTTAATACCGACACTCCTACACTATTATTATTATCGTAACTGTGATTTCAAAAACTACTACTACTACTACTACTACTACCGAGGTAGTAGTAGTAGGACCCGACTACTACTACTACTACTACTACCTGGGTAGTAGTAGTAGGACCCAACTACTACTACTACTACTACCAATTCCAAACCCTGACACCGGCAAATCTTTAAGCAATAATGCGGTCGCAAGTGATAAGAGGCGGAGGGGCTTTGAGAACCTTTCTCCCATTTTATAAACTTGAGATATAAACCCTTTCCCAGCCTGGAAATATGATTCATTGGGATATCGGCTCTTGATCTCCAGTCCCTTCCTTATGTACCTAGAGCTAGATGCCCGGGTCTCGACTTCGGTATGTCCACGTGTCGGAAGAATGCATCCACCTTACAGGCTGATCATTCATCAAACTACTTATCTATCGCTTTTACGATATGCCATTGGTATTACAAGTTCCCAAACCCTAAACAATGCTGTGTGGAATTCATGTCACATATCGTTACAAGATGTTAGTCCATCTCAATGAGGACCTTGAGTGCGCCGTGCTCCTGGGCCTTTCCGAATGTCTCGTACGCTTTTTCAATCTCAGAGAATTTGAATTCTAACCGCGTTAGCTGGAGCCGTCAAAATCAGTATCATGGGGGTAATGGATCCTACTGTGCGTGATGAGCTGTGATGGCTGCAACTTCTTGGCCTCAACCATCTTCAACAGCATAGGTGTCGTAGTTGCATCAACAAGCCTGGTTGTGATACCTGAGACCTGGTTAGCAACATAGGACTCGCACGGGAGAAAAAAACTCACTGATGTTCTTGGACCACAATTCGTCCAGAAACAGATCCGCCTTGGTGCCGTGCACACCAACGTTGGCAAGCACACCACCAGGGGCAAGTAACCTCTGCGAAATCTCAAAAGTAGCGGGAATGCCAACCGCCTCAATAACGGTATCGCAGCCCTTCCCGTCAGTCAAGTCCTGCACGGCCTTGATGACATCCTCCTGCTTCATGGCCCCGCTGTTGATAGTAGCATGGGCACCGAAGTCCTCGGCGACTTTGAGACGCTTGTCGTCCGTGTCCAACATGATAACCATGGATGGCGTGTAGAACTTGGCCGTGATGAGCGCGGCAAGACCAACCGGACCAGCGCCAACAATCACCACTGTCCCACCGGGCTGGACCTTGCCGTTGAGCACACCACACTCGAGTCCGGTGGGAAAGATGTCGCTGAGTGTGACCAGAGATGCCTCATCAACGTCTTTGGGAATGGCGTACAGGCTGCAGTCCGCGTGGGGGATGCGCACGTACTCGGCTTGAGTCCCGTCGATTTCGTTGCCGAGTACCCAGCCACCGGTGGTGCAGTGCGATGACATGCCACGACGGCAGTACTCGCAGGTCGCGCAAGACGAGATGCACGAGATCAGCACTGGGTCGCCCTTCTTGAAGCGCGACACCGACCCGCCCACCGACTCGACCACACCCACACCCTCATGGCCCAGAATTCGCCCGGGCGCGCACGTCGCCACGTCGCCCTTGCGGATGTGCAAATCGGTGCCGCAGATGGTCGTTTTGGTCAGCTTGACTACGGCGTCGGTCGGCTTGGCGACCTGCGGGATCGGCCGGTCCTGGACTTCGACCTGGCCGACCTGCTTGTAGATCAGGGCCTTCATCATGGTGCTGGTTGCGTACGAGCGGGCCACGTAGAGACGAGTGTTTGCCGAGCGTAGACTGCGGGCGGAAAACAGACGGGCAACAGCGATAGCAGCCGAGGGCGAAGCAGCGAGCGAGGTCGAAGCGGCTGTTCTTGCGGTCGAGAGGCAAAGGGGCGTGAGGGTATTTAATGCGGTGCAATTCATCATAGCTTTGACAAAAGTGATATCAAATCGACGTCAATATCGACTCGAGACTGCGTTTGCTGATGCACCGCATCGTGCGGCTTATAAGTCGCTTTCACTGCCGGATGCGGGTGTCTTGGCGGGTGGTGTGACTCTGGCCTGATCAGAGCGGACCACCCAAGAGCCCCGAGCCATCATCAGTGCGGTGCCTGATTGTCAGCACAGAATGCGCGGCTGTACCCCGCAGTGACCAGTACGACGTCGATCCAGAACCGGGATTGCAATTCCATTATGTACACGTGCGTGTTGTTGGGGCCGGAACACGCCGACCGCGTGTTCGGTGCCGGCGTCTCCAATCCGGGAGTTTGCCGATATCTCCGGCCGACCCCTTTTCAACTGGTGGATCCGTAAACATACCTCCTTATTGTGTCTCTACTGGCAACCGTCATTCCCGGCGATGATCCTGCAATGCACTTTTAAAGAGGGAATGACCCGGCTCTGGGTGTGCTATCGGGGTTTGAACTTGGACACAATAATGTTTTCCCAATCCGACTTCATTCTTATCCTTTCGGCCGACATCCCCACCCCCTGCCAAGACCTCGCTGCCTAGACAAAAACACCACGCGAAAAATTGCAATCCACCCCTTCCCCACCGCACACGCGAGGAAACTTTACATGCGAAAATTAGAACACTGGTTATCAACAATCGGGTATGGTGTAGCGGTAACATCGCTGACTCTCAACTTCAGAGATGCTCAGCAGCCCGGGGTTCGACTCCCCGTATCCGAGTCAGGCGCAACCATTCTACGGTGAATGCAACACATTCACACCATCTTCCGTAGTATAGTGGTCAGTATGTGAGCTTGTCAACCTCCTTTCACAGGGAAAAAGACTTCGCTCGAGACCCGGGTTCAATTCCCGGCGGGAGAGAGATGATGACCTCGGTTGGTCGCCTGTTTTTTTTTGTGCTCTTTTTTGAGATGAGCAATCAGATTATTTCAAATGCAGAAATAGAAAGCCTCGATATTCATTCAAACGACAATCCCAGAAGTTTGTGCAGTCCTGTCTTCCGTCCCCTCACGGTTGATACCAAAGCAAAACTCTTTGCGATGCTTGGTAAAGGACTCCTTTGCGGTTCGGCCAAGTTTATCTGCGCCCTCAGATCGACGGCACCAAAATCAGCACCCAGAAGAGCTCGCATTACTTTTGCCCAACCATATCTCGTAAGGTAGTTAGCAGCAGGATCGTCATTCCATCGCAGTCGACGACATCGACCTTGGCGCCCTTCTCGACGTGCATAATGGTCGTCTTCCACAAGTTGTACGCAACCGTATTTGCATCCGGCGCACCTGCTATGGCAGTGATTTGGTATCCGCGCCGTGGTCCAGGAGCGCCAGCGTGTTACCTGCTTCGCCGTAATTCGCGCAAGATGCAAGGACGTATGGCGGTAGATGTAACCCTCGCAGTCGACCTCGGCACCCCCCGACTCGATAAGAGTTGCTCACGACTTATACCACAACACCAGCACCGACTATCACATACGACCATACCCATTGGAAAACTCGGGATCCCGTCCGCTCTCCCATAGATAAGCCAATGAGGGCCAGACTAGTAGTTGGGTCGGTGACGACCAGCGAATCCCTGGTGTTGTATGTTTTTTTTTTTCTTTTTTGCCCTTTTTTCTAACTCAAAAAAAAAAAAAAAACACCCTCTCAATCTGTCACCGTCTCGATCTGTAGGGAGTTTTTGCTCCCACGATATAACATGGCATCAAGCATGAAAACCCAACTGGCTGTATGCATTCTCGGACAGTAGGGTGCGTCCATCGCTGAGAATATGTATCCTGCTTGAACCGAACTGTGTACGGATATTTACGCTGCGGTTGGCCAAGACCGAGTGATATGCGCTGACCGCAAGCACACAAATTTTCAGAATCACTGGTCGACTGGTGCGGAGGACGAGCCATCTCTTCCTTATAGGGTAAGGGGTAGGGTTAGGGGTAGGGCAAGGCTCGAGGTTAGGGAAAGGGAACCCTAACTTCCACTTCCGGAAAGAAGACGGCGGTGTATCGCTAGAACCGATAAGTCTACACACACCGTGCTTGGAGGAAAGGACTGAGATGGGCTCTCGGATTTCTTTCAGAATGTCTTTTCACTAGGGTATGGGTCCTCCAGGAAGTGATCTTGTCCGGAGCCTTCGCCTGCTCTCCGTCGACGTCTGTATGGATTCCTCTAGGAGTTCTTCAGAAACGCCATGGAAGCGCTAATAGTACCGGGTCCAAGTCTGATATTCCCACAGGACAACATACCCATTAAATGAGGCAAGCAAGGGATGAACTGTAAAGAAGTGTATCAATGGCCACGACGCTGGACCAGTCGGCGACTCTTGACTAAGGTATTCAGACAGGAGATAGAATCTACAGCCTTCATTCCCTGATGGAGAACCACTGGCAGGTATCCCGGACTATCAGATTGATCATCGGGAGCTTTATGTCAGCACGATGCGGCGAATTTTAATGCAATGCTACCGATCCGGAAGCTTTGTTTGGACTTCGCCCAGGGAGAAGCGCCAGTTCATACCAGGTCTTCCGTCCTGGTATCGGACTTGGATCGAGCTTGCCGACTGAGTGTCAACTGCCATTCCCCCGCATACACTTCCGGACAGGATCAGAAGCCAGATCTGATTTTTGGTGGCACTACACCATTGTTCTACGGGTGGGTGGAGGCTTATTCTCGCAACTTCATTTGAGACCATTTAGAGGTTTTATCGGTTTAGCAAACATCTCAACAACCTACCTTTCTGTGTTTTCTGTGTCAGGAAAGCTGACAGAACCGCAATTGTGCCTCCGACTACCTGGGAAGACGACACCATATGCGTGTTCAAGGGTGCTCGCATGTTTATGCTTGGCCCTTGCGGACCAGAATTTGAGCTTCTCGTCCTGACATGTTCATAACCCGATGGACTAAGGCAAGCTGGATATTCTGGCAACAATACTTTGCTCTTGTATGAGCGCTGAAACGGCGTCGCCGAGAGCCGTCTCGACTTGAAAAAACCCGTTCGCCATCGAACCACACGGTAATATAAAATGGGCGCTAAATTCTCGCTTCCCCGGATCAACGGGCTGTTGCAAGCGCCGCCCCGTCCTTGGGTCGCTTTCAGCCCCCCTCACAGGAGCGCTTCGTCACGACGCCCAGCCGCGCCGGCAATATGGATAATCCGGGCAAGGCGAAGCCGCCAAGGTGGCGACGGGGTCCACCATCGCGACGCCCAAATGCCGGTGAAAGTGCCGATACAGGTCCCCTGGACCGTTGTCGGTGTCTGGGCCCTCGGGACGCCGCCCACTTGCCGTCGACTCGCAATGCGAGATATCGGGCGGAAAGTCTTTAAACCAACACCGCCTGCCTAGTACTGACTGTACCCATCCACCTACCCAGCTACCTACACCACACTACTTTCCTTATCTAGCCTCCCCCCTTTTTTGTGTGAGTCCGCCCACCACCGCCCAGCATGCCGTTCCTGTCGGACCCGCAGCCGCGCATCATCATCGCCGGGGCCGGCATCGGCGGTCTCAGCACGGCGCTGGCCCTGCACGCGGCCGGCTTCAGCGACATCCACGTGTTTGAGGCGAGCGGGACGCTGACGACGCTGGGCGTGGGCATCAACATCCAGCCGTCGGCGGGGCTGATCCTGCGGAATCTGGGCCTGCTGCCGGCGCTGCGCGACGTGGCCGTCGAGACGCGCGAGCTCAACTTCTACTCGCGCCACGGCCACGCCATCCTGTCGGAACCGCGCGGGGCCAGCGCCGGCTACGCGGTCCCGCAGTTCTCGATCCACCGCGGCGAGTTCCAGATGCTGCTGCTCGACGCCGTGCGCGCCCGCATCGGCGCCGACCGCGTGCATCTCGACCACGCCTTCGTCGGCTACGAGCAGGACGCGACCTCCATCACGGCCCGCTTCGCCCGCCGCGGCGCCGGGCCCGGCGAGCTGCCGGAAATCCCCGCCATGACGGGCGCCATGCTCGTGGCCGCCGACGGCATCAACAGCACGGCGCGCCGGCTGCTGTACCCGGACGAGGGCCCCCCGCGCTTCTCGGGCCGCATGCTCTGGCGCGGCTGCGTCGAGCGCCCGCCGTACCTCACCGGCGCGTCCATGGTCTGGGCCGGCCACGCGAACCAGAAGTTCATCGCGTACCCCATCAGCGGCCGGGCCGCCCGCCGCGGCACGTCGCTGGTCAACTGGATCGCCGAGCTGCGCGTGCGCGACGAGAGGGACCCCGACCTCACGCCGCCGCCGACCGACTGGACCAAGCACGTGCCCAAGGACCGGTTCGCCGGCCCGTTCGCCGACTGGTCGTGCGGCGGCCTGCGCATGGCCGAGCTGATCGACTCGACCGAGAACGTGTTCGAGTTCCCCATGTGCGACCGCGATCCTGTCGAGCGGTGGTCCTTTGGCCGCCTCACGCTGCTCGGCGATGCCGCCCACGCCATGTATCCCATCGGCAGCAACGGGGCCACGCAGGCCATCATCGACGCCGAGACGCTGGCTGCGCTGCTGGCCGAGAAGGCGAGCACGTGGCAGCAGCCGGGCGTGGTCGAAGATGCCCTCACGGCGTACCAGGACATTCGGCTGCCGGCTGCGGCCAAGATCGTCATGGCGAACCGCGCCAACGGGCCCGATCATGTGCTCGAGCTCGCTCACCAGCGCGCGCCTGACGGGTTTGCGAATGTGTATGATGTGATTCCGAAGGACGAGCTGGAGAGTATCGGGGCGGCGTATAAGGCCGTGGCGGGTTTCGAGAAGGACGCGGTGAATAAGAAGGCGGCCGAGACGGAGCATCTGGCGGCGCGGTTTGAGGCGTTTGAGGCAAGATAGCGGTTTCTGTCATGGAAAAGAGGTGTGGGGGTTTTTATCATGGTTATGGGAGTCTGGGGGTTGTAAGTTATGGGAGGACTTTGAGGTATACCCCCCATAGTCAGAAGCTTGAAAAGTCGGTTGAATATTCAAGGGAAAACGTCGATGAAGCACGGATAGCATATAGGGAAAAGAAAGAACAGCATTGGCTTTTAGGTCATCTATCTATCTTGCACTGTGCGGTTACAGTGGAAGTGAACTGATCCATAGAAGTAGGAGGTACCCACGGTATGTGGTGGTGAAAGTGGAAAAACCTGGAAGGAAAGTCCAGTATGGAAGATAGGTATCCAGCAGATTGTCCTGTTACCCGTTCGCGGATAAGGTAGCACAGAGTTGTGCCACCAACTCTGGTACCCGATCCGAGCGCACACCCCTTTAAACCCGTACGCATTCCCCCTAGGTACCCAGGTAGGTAGGTAGGTATGATATAATTCAAGCACCTGGTAAATTTTCGAACAGAAAGGTTCTCGTATTATCCGTCAGTATTTCGTATCAACGCTCTAATAAATACCTGAGCCCACCTTGGTCGGTTTCAGAATTTCTTATCTTCGGCTTGCAGGAAATAGTACTTACTTATCTACCCGACCTTTTTCTAGCGTATATACGTATCCGAACTATAAGGCATCTTGTTAAACCTGGGTACCTAAGGGAAACTAAAAGAAGCAAGATAGAAGAAACAGGTACTCACGGGCTTTCTCTGTGAGTGGTTTGAATTTGAGTACAAGTACGTGATTGCCCATCTATAGGGGACGTGAGCAGCTAGTTGTCAGATCGCGGCTCCTCGCTTTTACACTAGTGCCTCAATAACAATTTACCCTAGGTAGTAGAGGTTTCGTCACGAAGTCTTCCAAGACCTCATCCGATGCATGGCTTGACGTATAACAGGACATGAGCAATTCTATATAAGTACCGCAAGCAGGTCAAAACTGCCAACTGGAGAATCGCGTTACATCTAGGGCTGATATGCTCCTTGGTCCTCACCCTAACCCTCACTCACCACCGGATCCTCCATCGCCATC